TAATAATATTCTAAGATAATAATTGATAAATAATAAATAATAAAATAATAAACTAATAATTAATTCGTTCTATAACACTATAATCAATTTTCTAAAAAACCCTTTATTTTTGTTATACAAAGCTAATTTTTATATCACACCTAATCTTAAATTTTAATTGGCTATAATGCTATAGTGCTATAGCACTATGGTGCTAAAAAAATATTTCCATTTATAAATATTTATTATATACAAATCTAGTTTTTATATAGCTTCTATGTAACTACTTATATAAATTATTTAATAAAGATATAAGCAAAATCTTATCTTAATACAAAAAAAAATAAAATAAAATAAATTATAAGGTTTAACATTACATGGAATCTAAAAATTGGGTCAGTTGGTCAATTTTTTTTTATTTTTTATTTTTTTAAATCTACTTTAAATTAATAGAATTATGTTCATATTTCAAGGTTATGCAAAGTTATTTTTTTTTTTATATAATAAGGAATTAGAAAATTGGTTGGCTGTCATTTTTTTTTGTAAGTTATATTGGATAATTTCAGGATATCAGATGTTTCCATTGGGTAATACCAGATAAAAATTGCAGAAAAATAAATAGCAAAAATCAAATAATTAGCATAATCGAGATATAAAAAAAAAAAAATTAAAAAAAATTAAAAAAATAGGTTAGTGGGTAATATTAAATGAAAAATTAACTTTGTGTGGCCTAATATAAATATCTAGCAAATCTGCTTGAATTCTGCTACTTTATTAAAGTATGATATGAAAGTTCTAAATTTAATTAATAAAAAGAGTATTGTAAACTGTATAAAAAATCTTTAATAAATTGTAACAATCCTTTTAATAATTTTCTAATTTGAAATAGTCTCATCTAAAAATTTTACTATAACTACTCTCTAGCTAACTAGTGAATTGCCAAATAAGTAAGGACGTTGACATTTATTATGTAATTTTTTAGAGGATGGGGGGTCACACAGGTATATAGAGAAATCTTATATTATATATAAATATATAAATTAAGGAAGCGATAAAAATCGCTTTTATAAGACTCATTGATTTCATTACGACAATTTAACATGATAGTCTTGGTACGTGCTAGTATTATCAGAAACACTAGATTTGTAGGCCGCAAATACTAATATAGGGTTATGTGTACTTTTAGATCACTTTATTATAATAAATTGTGTAAATTTATAACAAAACAGTTGTCAACAATGAATTAACAAAAATTTTTTCATTTATTCAATGCGAATACATAGATTGGTGTTTACAACTCTCCATCCGATATAGTATTTCTTAATTCAAATGAAATTTCATCAAGAGTACAAACTTGTGTTGATTTTTGTGTAGGTAGAAAGTAAAAATCATCAAGCATCGAATTTTGAATTTTTTTTTGAGCTTTTGGTCGTCCTCGAACAGAAGGATAGACTGCCTTCTTGTAGTTTATTAGAAAAGCAAGAGTTGGAAAGTATTTTTGACAGGTAGAGCAGCAAAGACATGAATAAGAGTTCTTTTCAAGAGATGGACAATGGAAGTCATAGCCTGGAATTTTTAAAAGATCGTAATATTGAAGTAAATGGATAGGATTAGCATGATGTCCATCCTTAGCTCTGGTAATGGGTGGCAAGAAGCCATTGTAACATTCAAGGAATTTCATTGCTTCTTTTGCTCTAGACGTTCTACAACAATTGATATTTTTACATTTTTTAATATCCACAGAATATACACACAGATTACAGTGGCTTTCGATCCAAGACCATGGAATGAAGCATTCAAGAATGTCAGATTCTTTATCCTTTTTTTTGCATTTATTTTTTGTTTTTTTTGTCTTTTTAATTCTTCAATTTTTTCTTTTTTTGTACTCTCGAATTGCAAATCGTCAAACAGATTCGTAAATGTATCAATATATTGAGCATGAATGTGCTTTCCAAAAATTAAATCACAACTCCAAACATCACAAAGAATTTCTCCAGCATGTCAAAAATTTTGGGCAGCCAATTCAGGATTTGTTATCTTGCCTTGAGAATCAAGATGTTTGCCATAGTAATCAATTAGTAAAGTAATATCTGCAAGTTTTCCAGATAATGTTGCCATTCCTCTTTCAACAGGATTGTATTTTGACTATCCTGGGGCGTGTGTTTGTACACTTAGATAATCTAAATCAAACTCTTTGAAAAACTGACAATACACTTTTATGTTTTTTAAATACCTAGGATTTTTGTCAGGCCCACTGTCTACCAGTAATACCCAAATAGGTTTAATTTGCTCATCAAATTTTAAAATATCATTATATTGAGGATTTAAAATAAGGCTTTGTAGATCCTGCATATGTGTAAGGGAGGATGTACTGATAGGCCATTGAGGACGTATGAAAATTGCAAGTTGCCTTGTTTGAATTTTATCATTTAATTCATTTGGTTTTATTATTAAATATACAGATGGAATTAATTTTTGCCCATATCCTACAGGGAAATCATGATCGGCAACGACTACAGGTTCATTAATTGACTGTAAAGTTCTGAATGTCTGACCTACTGCTGGCATCCCAAGACCTACCTTCGCTTTGTCATTCTGAGAAATAATAACAGACATATCAGCAAACATAGAAGCAAATTGTTTTGCATACTTGACAGATGCAAAACAATAATGCCCATCAGGATGTTTTTGAGTATCAGTATGTGAAACTCCAGCTACTGCAACCCATGCTGGATGTCTATGTGCCTTTGCAGCAATTGAATTAGCCTGGCAAGGTAAAAGATAGTTATTTAATGTTGTTCGCGCTATATAAATATTGTACCTCTCTTCTAAATTCTTGCACAAATTATTAATAATCCGTAATTTAACTACTTCTTTTCGTCTTTTTGGATCAGCTGATTCAAATTCAACACAATCATGTATCTGGCTATGTAGGTCTGGGCATTAAAAAAGTAATGATGGATGTTTGACCTTATCATACCACACTACTTCTTGATTTTCGGTAAGTATTTTAAGCTTCTTTTCTCTGCAATTTTGAGTATATCTTGCATTTTTTTTTAATTTATTTATTTTTTCTTTTTTAAATTTGATTTCTGTTTCGGCATCTTCTATTTTTTCCTGCATTTTACGTAAAATTTGTATATCACTCATAATTTCGCAGATTTGTTTTAATTTAACAATTTTTTTTTTAATTATTTCAATTTTGTCAGCTATTTTTTTTTGAACTGCAGCATTAATAGGGATTTCTAATGTAGGTTCAGCCGGAATAATAGTAGGGATATGAGAAGCTGGTTCTACTTCTATTATAGGTCTTGGATGGCTCGCTCTTATCATTGGTATGTTATAAGGATTAATTGGAGTATTTAGATATGCCTTGATTTGATCATCTATTTCTGATATACTTTTGCATTTTATTTTTTTCATTTTTCTGCTGCTTCGTGACAAACATTTGCACAATTTGGAGAGCTATTTCCTGTCTTTATCATAATATTATACATATAGGCATTGGTAAATTCCTGATACTTATTGCTTGGTGAACTGTAAATTGACTTTTTATTAAAATTTGGACCAAACAAATAAGTTTGGCGACTCATTTTTAGATTTCAAAAAAAAACAAAAAGAGTAGCGAATTTTAAAATTATAACAAATTAAAGAAATTTTACTGTGTTATATTAAATTGAAAATAGGTTATTTTTATTAGTTTACAAGATGCTTTTATATTTTATATACATTTTACAGAATCTAATCTAATCTTTTTTATTGTAGCAAATTTATGCGTTTGAAGTATTCTCATTCTATTTTTCCTTTTCAATTTTTTGATTCACTATTTTTTCTTTAACTTCTATTGTGAATTCGGAGCTGCTTTTAAATTTTATCATACATTTTCACAATCTTTACATACGTCAACACAGCCACTCCGCCTATTTTAGTCTAATTTATCTCTTTTTTTTTTATTATTATTAACGACTATGGCCCTTAATTACTTACTTTTTTAGGTTAGCATGATTGATCGATAATAAAATATATGGTTCACATGATAGAAAAATTAAAGTGTATATTAAATTGGTACGTGTTAGATTAATGTTTTTGTATCACGATTGTGTTGCTAGTATAGAATATGATATGAAAAGTTATATGCTGTCACGTATATTTTTATACACTTGTAATAAGTTTGCATAATAAAGATTTTTGTGGGTTTGATTGTACTACAGTGCTTTATATCACATGATCTATTTTAATCAATTTTAATTGGTTGATGTTATTATTCTAGTCTTACGTGGAGGTGGGGAGTTAATCGTCTTATTAAATTGATATTACGTAATTAATGTCAGTGCCCTAATCTGTATTACATTTTACTATACAGTAATCACTCTCTGGTTAACTCATAGATTACTAATTAAAAGAGCTTCAAATTTGTCTTAAAAAAGTAAAAGCTTATAGTAGACTTAAAGAAAATAAAAAAGCTAATAAACTTGCAAAAAAAAAGCCTATAGCTCAGTATTGATTATTTTTTTTTTTATAAATTTGGCAGTCATGCTAAAATTTTATTAGGCCTAAATTAACAAACTACACTATCAACTAATTTTACTAAAACAATTGCTTCAGTTATCTAAGTTACAAGTTTTGACTAACTCAGTTGTATCAAATGTGTACTTATATTCGACCTGCTATAGTAGAATTTTATCTTTCTACTTATCTTTTCTGCTACTGAAAAAACAAATAGATTATCAAATAGTATTTACAGGTATGTCATGACTGCTAATTTCCTTAAAACTCTTCTTTTCTTAATATCCAAGCAAGAGGATTTTATAATTCTTGCCTAAAGAACAACAAATATATAAAAAAACTAAACTAAAAAAAAGAAAATACAAAAAAAAAGAGGAATACTACAAAAACCTACTTTTTTTTTTTTGTCAATTTAGCAATCTTGCCAATATTTTATTAGGTATGATTATTTGAACTCTTGGATAAAAATGCAAATTTAACTAAAGTTATTTAAAGTTTATCTAAATTACAAATATTAACTAACCCGGCTCTTTGCAACAACAAAGTATCCAAATTACCTATATTCGATCTGCTATAGTAAATTTTATCTCTATATCAAAAAACCTTGCAAATGAATTTTTCAATACATTACTGAATAGTATTTATGGCCTATCAAGATTACCTTCTTTCCTAACCTTCTTCTAGCTTTTCAAGCAGAAGGATTTATAGTCTTCAACTAACTTATAAAAAAAAACTAATACTAACAAAAAAAGATAAAGAGAATAAAACAAAAAAGGTAAAAGAAAAAAATATTTAAGCAACAAGAAAATGAATAAAAAAAACAAATAAAAGAAGAAAAAAAAAATAAATCTATAAAAGCACTATTATAGCCCATACTAGGTACAGTTATAAAAATTATATACCTAATTAAATTTAAACAAACCTAATTTTTAAATTTAAAAATCTTGTATATCTCTGTTGTAAAGCTATGCTTTATTATTAAAATTTTCTTTTGACTATTATATCTAATCCAGGTTAGTTTGTTAACCAGAACACCGATTGGTTCATCATGTGGTATAGGGCTATTATTGCCAAAACAATCCTGAGTTTATATCCTACTTTGTCTGTTTGAAAATGAAAAGTATAAATAATGCCAATCTTTTGGAGAGGGTAAGCTGAAATGCCTACTTTTTTGTTGAAAATTTTGGTGAAGTTAGCAAAATATAAAAAAAAGAAAAAACACTTGAACACACTAAAAAAGTGTATAGTGCCCAATAAAAGTTTCTCTGCACCTATATCTCCTTATGGAGAGGTGCTATGATCTTGAAACTTTTAGAAAAGTTAATACCTACATAGTTTAGATTGTGTATATATTTTGAAAATTTTATAATTACTAGAAAAAAATTTGGATAAGAGCTAAATTTTGGATATTTTTTGTTTCAAAAAAATTAAAAAATTAATTTAATTCAAATATATTGTTAAAGCTTAAAGCCAAAACTTCTAAAAATTAATATATTAAAATTCAATGGTTTTTGTAATAGTGACAAAAAATTTGACTCAATTTGATAAGATAGTTATTGAAAAATTAATTTTTAAAGTTTTGAGTTTTATTTTTGATTTGTTGATACTTAACTCTTTTTGTATTGCAAAAGTTTTTTACTAAGAGTAGTGTCATTTATTACCTGATTTTTTTTTATCAGAGGCTTACCCTCTCCTAGTTTTCAATATATAAATTATCAGATCTTATATATAAAATTTTAATTTTTTTAACCCCCAGAAAATCACCTGATAATTGTCAGCTCCCTAATATCTCGTGTTTTAACAGTCCAAATTTGATGATTTTGATATTATTAGAATTGTCTCGTTGAGACAATTTGAATAATACCAAAATCATTAAATTTGGATTATTAGATATCAAAATAGTTTCAATTGAAAAAACTATTACTTTGTAATTTTTAAAAATAAAAATAAAATTTTAAAAATTAATTTCTCAACAATTATCTCATCAAATAGAGCCAAATTTTTTATGACTACAACAGCAATCATTGAATTTTAATATACTAATTTTTTAAAATTTTAACTTTAAGCCTTAACGATATATTAATTTTTCTTTAATTTCAATTAATTTTTTTATTTTTTTAAAAAAGCATCCCAACTTTAGCTCTTATACAAACTTTTTTCTAGTAATTAAAAAATCTTCAAAAAATGCACATAATCTAAACTATATACATACTATTTTTTATAAAAGTTTCAAGGCTATAACACTTCTCTATAAGAAGATATAGGTGTGAGAAAACTTTTGTCGGGCACTATAAGTTTCCTTTATTAGAATCAACTATACACCTGAACTAAGTTTTGTTAGTAAGTAATAAACTCTAAACTTGTTGGCAAGTAGCATATGAGAACTACTTTTAAACAACAAGTATCATGCCTTCAGTCAGTGAGTAATAAACTCTAAAGCTATTAGCAAGTAGTGTATGAGAACTATCTTTAAATAATAGCTGCTAACTTAAAGACTCTTTTTCTCATGTCTTATATGCAAGTCATCAACTTTAGTCTAGTATACTGTTTTTTTTTCTAGTAAAAAGTTTTTTGAAAATGTGATCCAAATGATTGTTAGAAAGAGTTGTACAAAAGCCTAAATGTAATCCAAATACAAAAAGAAAAAATAGAACAAAAAAGATAAGGGAGCCGCCAGAAATCAGCTGATTTCCTAGGGGGGGGGGGGGGTTCTTGCTTAGTCAGGTTACTATATATCCTTTTTTCTAATTGGCTAATAAAACATATTTTTTTTATATATTTATTTATTTATAAATTTTTTTTTGTTTATTAAA